ATTGTACCATGGTGCTTTAGTTTTCTCTCTAACCTTTTTCAATCTAATTGGTGCAACAATATCTAATGTACTAGAGAAAATGGTGCTCAAACTGCTGGTCATTTCCTCTAGTTCATCTGTTTGTTTGGGTTCACTGAGCAGCTGAGATAGATCAGGTAAGCTATTTGAGAATCTATCTATAGTGATTGGAAGGATTGTTCTGCCTGGTCGATAACGCGGCGCAACATGACAAATTTCAGCAGTACGTATTATACAAGTTACCATGTGATGATCAGTGAGATCGTCACTTTGCGGTATAATATCTATATCGGTTGGATCGGTTCCATATGATATAATTAAATCTAGTGTATGATTTAGACGGTGAGTGGGACCATTGACGTTTTGCTTGACCCCAAAGGAGTTTAATAAATCTGTAAACGCAGTCCCTAACGCATCATTTGTGTTATCTACGTGTATGTTAAAATCTCCAACAATTATTGCTTTATCGACATTGACCAATAGATCTGAGAGAAAGTCTGCAAACTCTTTTAGGAAATCAGTGTAGGGCCCTGGAGGTCTATATACAGTAGCCAAGGCTAGAGATAATAGGGATTTCTTTCTTACATCTAAGAGCGTAACATTTAGCACAAGTACTTCAAACGAATTAAACCTGTGACCTGTTTTCTGAGTAACATTAAGAATATCTCTATAGATTGTTGCAACACCGCCGCCACGACCGATCAGACGGGGCTCATGCTTATAACAATATCCTGACGGAGTAGACTCATTTAGACCGAAATACTCATTTGGTTTAAGCCAGGTTTCAGTAAGGCAAAGTACATCGAAGCTATTATCTGTGACCATTTCATTTACAATAACCGCCTTAGGTGTGAGCGATCTAATGTTTAGAAGACCTAGTTTTAGAAATTGTTTTTGTTCACTGGTATTTAGATTTTCTGGTTTAATTACAATAAGATTTTTCCTAGATCCTACACTAGATTTATTGTTTGGCCTCACTAGACGAGGAATAGACACAGTTTCTATATAATGTTCTACACTACTTATATCAATTAAGTTGGGACAGCAAAGACTGTGAATTGGATTTTGACTTACTAGTCAGATGGTGTGCAACGTCTTGGAGATGTTGTCCGACAGAACAGCCGCTCCGATTCTGCTGGGGTGCAGGCCATCAGCACGGTAGAGCCTAGGTCGCTCCCAGAACAGATTCCAATTATTTACAAAGAGCAGTTTCTGTTCATTACACCATGACATTAACCATTCATTTAGAGCAAATAGTCTACTGAACCTTTCTTGTCCTAGTCGGTACGTGGGAAGCGGTCCAGACACGATGATCGTTGCCTCAGGCGCTGTGTTGCGTACCGCCTCGATCAGGCTCCTGTAGTCCTTCTTCAGAACCTCCGTCTGCCGCAGCCTGATGTCGTTCGTTCCCGCATGGAGGACAACGGCTCCGACGCGCTCGTCACCGTTCAGGATCTCGGGAACCTGTGCGGCGACATCAAGAACACGAGCACCAGGAAAGCAGTGAGTGCGCACCTTACCCTTACCTGAGGTAGCGCGGACATGACGGACCATGGAAGTGCCGATGATCACGGCGTCGTCGCGTTCCGACTCGTGAAGAGGGGAGAAGCGGTTCCGGGTGGAGATCTCGAAGACCGGGAGGGGCGGAGAGGTTCTTGCTCTGGTCCTGGCTCGTGTCTTCCGCTGTGGGATCACCCAGGGTCCATGGTGTTGTGTAGGTGCCGGAGTGAATGAAGCCAGAGATGATCGCGTCCTCCTGGGCAGAGAAACGCACGGAGTAGAGGAAGTCGGAGTCAAAAAGTTACTAACCACTGACTTGTGAGCATCGGCGCGTGACGTTTCAAGCGCTGATCGCCGATCCCGCAGCTCGGCTTGCCTCTCCAGCAGACCACGGATCTGTTTCTCCACCGATTCCAGTTCCAATCGCACCGACATCAGCTCGAATGTGTCCTCACCTGCATTTAGAGGTAACGTTAGACACACATCCGATATGTTCGCCATTATAACAGATGAACAGTAAATTAGCAGTGATACTACCAATATCACTACTAATTTAGGACTGGAATGCTGGATATAACCTGTATCCTTTCAGTGAAACGGGTTTAAAATCAGACGCTCGATAGGCGCGAGCCCACGCGTGAAATGCTAGCGGGCTAAAGGCTAGTAGCCGAGATTCGCAAAGTTGGATCTAAGTAGCGATATCAAAGCAATCCGATTGTTTTTTTTTATAGGGAATAGTATCGAGGATAGGTTCACACGATATAAAAATAGAAAGTGCTTGTTAATAAATGAGTGGTAAAGAAGAAAATCAAGGATTAATGAATCAATTCGACGGAGCTCTAAACACAAACAAACACCGCCCGCGCATGCGCAGTCCACTTTCTATAAAACAACAATCGTTTGTACGCATATGAGCGGATGCTGAAAATAGACAGGCGGCAAAACAAACACATTAATCGATACTCTTGCAGACGCATCGATGCATTGAATCGTCGGCTGTATAATCGATACGAATCGATTAATATTTACACTCCTAATAGCAAGGAGACATTTTAATTGTTTATTAATAAACAAGTGTTTTCAGTCAGTGTCAGCCAAAGATGAAGTTGACGAGGCTGACTCGCGATCTTCAGTGAAGATAGAGAGAAATGCACATTTCATACGATTACATGAGTCTGTCTGTCTTTCGTTTTGAATTGTTCTGTTTAAAAGTAGACATTTCAATATAGATATATTTCAATTCTCAGGTCTATACGCTGAGTTTCGGTTCATGAGACGAGCTCCAGTTCACCCGCAGGCGCCTCCGTGTCGAGATTATCTATCGTCTGCTATATTTACTTCTTAAATCCAGGCAATTGGTTGATGAAACATTGATAAAAATTAAGATACAATTAATACAAAACGAAATTCACTTTGAAACGAAAGGTTTTGTGCTTTCTGTTTGATGTCTATGTGAAAGTTTCAAAGCATTTTAGTGCCGCTTTCAGAGCGCTCACGTCCGTAGTGCTGAACTGTCGCGTCTGTAACATTGTTTTTTCCTCATAAATGCGAACACGAAAAATAAAATAAAATAAAATAAAATGAATATTTGATGTAGCCTGTGGAGACTGAGAGCCAACCCTTCTTCATCCGGTGGGTAGTAGCCTACTTGTGATTTGCGCAGTGTAATTCACAGAATTGATTTCTCTGCTACAACCCTTTGTCACGTATTGTGTGAGCTTGTGACTATTGCAAGCGCGCAGCTGAGAAGTCCTGATTATATTGTCTGCTATATTTAGGCCTACTTCTTATTTATTAAGGCAATTGGTTGATGAAACATTGATTAAAATGCGTGGCGCGAGCAATCTCCGACAGTAAACTGATTCTGCTTTGTCTCGGGTAAACAGCTGTTGCGACGCGAGCAGAAACGGCCGCGTCCGGTGTAGACACAGTGTTAAAGCTCATTCTGCCTGATAACGCTACGTTACAACATCAAGCAATATTCCAAAAATGTATATAATTATAACACTTTATATAGGGCCATTTTGCATTAAGAGTAGCCTAGTTTCACGTTTAGTACATTTTGCTTACTAATTATTTAAAATAGTATAAAAGTACTGTATACATATGTAATTAAAAACGTTTTCATTATGATATTATTAATTTTACTTTAGTAAAAAGATCTGAGTTCTTCCTCCGCTGGTAGAGATTAGAGGAATTAAGACTAAAAATAGAAGATAATAAGGTTTTGTCAGTGACACTTTTTATATATTTATTGATACAAGTTATGCCTAAATTAAAAGACAAAGTCGTTAGTGAAGATTATGCAACAGTATTTAGAATATAATATAATATAACATGCAATGCAAACTAGTTTGGTTACAGCTCAACTGTATAATTCTCATTATATCATTCCCCCTGCCTCCATCTGTGTCACACAAGTGTTTGATTACCACATTTGAGTGATCATTGCAAAACGTGTTTATAAAATATATTTATTCTGTTTATACTGTGTAAAGTACCCATCAAAAGTTTGTACACACCAAAAGGAAAGTGTCCAAACTTTTGACTGGTATACTGTACTATAATACACATAAATAATATTGCTACTGTATTATAATATACACATAAATAATATCGGCCGATATATCGGTATCGGATTTTTTTTACTCCCTAATATCGGTATCGGCATCGGCCCCCAAAAATCCATATCGGTCGGGCTCTAATAGATTGTATTATTATTATTATTATTAGACTATATACAAATAATTGGGTGCCGATACTATAAGTGTTGTGATTTTTAAGAATAGCGATTCTACAATATTGTGATTCGATATTGCAATGTATTGTGGTTTGTTTTTAACACTAGACTATGGAGAAAAGTTAAATCATACACTTATACAGACTGTACATGATGAATAAGATGAGTCATATTTACAAAAACCATTCATCACATCTCTGAGTTTTATTTCAGGAGCATCATACAGTAATACACTCTCTTGAATAAATAATTATATAAATACATTTTTTAACAGTCACTTGTCGCCACCTAGTGGCAAAACAATGTAATTGATAAATGCATTATTTTAACGCATGATTCAACCGATGATTTTGTCAAAGGTTTAATAGACAGACGAATTGGAAGAAGATCGTAAAACAGTAAACAAAAAAATTGCGATAGTTTGGTGAATCATTTTTTTCTCCCAGCCCTAACACACACACACACACACACACACACACACACATTCCTTTAAATGTTTACAAATACATTAAGCACACACACACACACACGTTTTCCATGTTTTATGGGGACTTTCCATAGAAATGATTTTTATACTGTACAAACTGTATATTCAATCCCCTAATCATAACTGATGTATTTGAACAACATGAACTACTGAGTATTTGTATATATTTCATATTGACAGCATTATGTTATTTATAGTTTAAGTGTTGTGTTTATCTCTGGATATAGGCTTAATGTGTGTCATTGTTCTCTACAGGTTGAGTAAGTGTGGAGTCACAGATGAAGGTTGTGTTGCTCTGGCTTCAGCTCTGAGATCAAACCCCTCACACCTGAGACATCTGAATCTGTCTGGGAATAAACTAGGAGACTCAGGAATAAAGCAGCTTTCTGATCTACTGGAGAATCCTCTCTGTAAACTGGAGACACTGTGGTAAGATCATCTCTACCATAAAGACTCTGAGTGAATAAGGATTAATATGTAGATAGTAGGGGTGTGACGAGATCTCGTCGAGTGAAAAGCTGTCTCGCGATATCGCCATGACTGAACGTGAGATTACCATAGAATATTCCACCGCTACACTCACATTCGCCTAAACTATCGTTTTGTTGTTTTTATAAAAAAATAAACACCATTATAAACTAATGTAAAAGTCTGCTCTGCTCATCCAGCGCGAGTTGCCGTTGCAATCAGTGCCGCACGAATCACAGTTCACTGATCGCGTGACGATGGCGGAGGATTCGTTGCGCAACATAGACTAACGTCTGATACATGTCTAATCTTGTAGAGTGTGCGCTCACACCGCTGCTCCCTATACACGAATCCGACGAGCGTTCTGTGTAGGCTGCCATCTTGTGGCGACGCCATTACTGAGCTGTTAGCGGTATGTAAACAAACCTCCGTGATAACGCACCCTCGATGACAGCTACAGCCAGGCAGAATGACTTGTTGGGTTGATGATGTTAGACAGTGGCCTCCAGTCACAGATGAAGGTACAAACGATCTTACAGATTATTTATGAAAATAGCTTGGCAAGCTAGCTAGGCTAACGTTAGCTAACGAGGAAACTATAAAAAGATCTGTCCATTTGGCAACAATAAATAAATGAATGACATCAAATAAACGAATTCATGTTTTTCATTTGTGTCCATTATTTATCTAATTTTCTCATTGCAAAAGGCAAGGGTAAGGTACAGCTAGAAAGTATACATAATATCGACCAATTAGTGTTTTTAAACCATGGAAAGAGGTCAATATAACAGCAGGAGAACAATTATGTCACATAATGTTACATTTAGCTCAGGAAAGCCATTTAATGACCATAGCATGTTAATTGAATAGAAAAAATAGCTAGAGAGGAGATTTTGCTGAGCACTATATTACATATTTATTATATTTTTTACTTATGTCATTAAATAATTGTTATTATAACAAAAACTGCATTATATTTAATTTAATTTGTTAGTTTAATTTGTTATTTAAAAAAAATTCTGTCACAGTCAAGCAAATCAAACATTAACAACAGACATAACAGTAATGTTACTAACGTCACTGCCCCAATGCGCCCTTTACTGCCGCCATTGAAACAATTTAAACCGGAAACATGTTTTCCCACTCGACATTATAAAAGTTGTAACGTTAGTGACAGTCGTAAATCGCGGGCTGTTTATTCCAGTGGACGCAAGTTGCAACTAAAACAATAGGAGGCAATGGCGCAACGCTACCCAGCAACAGCTCAGTTATGGCGCCCGCTTACTTCCGGTAGTTTCGCCGGATTCGTCTATACACAGAGTACGCGCGGTCACGAATTTGAAAGTGAAGGGTAAAACACAAGCTCCCTGATGTGCATTGCGCACAAATTAGGCTGCATATACATACAATAGTCTGTCTCCCAATACCCATCTCTGGACTGTTTATTTGCGGCTATGGTCTCAGTTTGCACCGTGAATATTGAGAGAGTACTGTAACGTATAAAGGACACCAGACAATTGAGGCTCCGTTTCTGAACTTATAATGGGAACGCAAGAACAACTGTAGAGACAAACACACCAGCCTCGTTTCTCTCTACCTATACCTATAACTGCTGGTGCAAAATAAAACCGCAATTTCACAACAATTATAAAGAGTCTGTGTGCTAACTTTGATTATGGTTGCACTTGCACTTATTGTTTGCACTTAATAAGACTAAGAGAAAACTGTTATTTATTTTTGTTATTTATACTGATTTTATTTTCTCTGTTAAATGTATGTAAAGGAGTTCCGTTAGGAGGTCACACACAGCCTCAATCAGAAGTTCTGAAAGCTCTTAAATGTACAGTAAGGTCTGAAGAGACTAATGTGAAATCATACAGGAGAAAAGCCAGTCAATAAAAACCCTTTACAGTGCTTGTATATTGTTTTCTTTCAATGCATTTGATAATTCATACTCATAAAGTAGACCTGAAATGACATGCATTAGAAGATTATTAGTTAAAACATTGAAAAATGCACCTGCATACTATTTGTCCAGTCATGAATTTTGTCATTGAGGATTTCTGAAAAATTGTGCAAAAATCTCGTCTCGTCTCGTTCTCGTGAGATAAGCGTCTCGTCACACCCCTAGTAGATAGTGTGTACAATATATGTGTGGCGTAAGCCCCATCCGGGGTTAAAAATAATAATAATGCTATCAGTCAAATTCATCTTTACTTTGTTTATTCTGTGTTATTTTTGAGAAAGAAGAATCACTCCATCACATACAAAAGGAACAATTACACTTAATGCGACCAGTTAGAAATAATGGTGACACTTTATCACAAGTATACAGTAACACAGCGCTTATAAATCATTTGCAAACTATTAGTTTATAGTTAATGAATAGTATATAATAGTATATAACCTGTAGTTAATGTATTAATTAGTGTTATTAGATTATATTTTTATTATTATACTGTATACAAATAATTGGGATAAATGTCTGGTCTCTCTCTCAGTATATGAGCAGCGCGAGGGCTTTCAGTGACTCAGTCCAGTGTTGACAACTATGTTCAGAGGAAAGTAGCTAACGCCTTCCCTAAGGGGCTGTTCACACCTGGCCACTTCAAGCGTTTTCTGTGATGGGATCGCTATCCGATCGTGAAGAGACCAGGTGTAAATGCCCTGCGAAACACATTCCAGACGGATCCGATCGCTCAAACCACTTCAGGAGGAGATCTGAGACCGTTCCAGACCAAACTGGACAAGTGTAAATGCATCTGGTTGTTGAATCCACATATGTACATTTTACTTCTCCCAAAAATGCTAAAAAATAAACATGTGAGAGCGTGTTATAGGCTTATGTCATGTTCTAGCCAGATAAGACTTGTTTGTTTCCACATATGTTGGAGCGAGAGAGAGAGACGGCAGGGAGAGAGCAAGAGCTCGCGCTCGCACCACTGACAGCATTTGGGGGTCAATGAGGTTTGACCAGAGAGACGCTAGATTTGTCGCTAGTCGCTTTTAAAAACAAAAATCACTAAAGGGGTCTGAAAAGTCGCTATAATAGTGACAAAGGCTCTGAGTTTAACACTGATTCAGTCTCACGCCGCTTCCACACGTCCACTAGACAGGGATATTACGACACTCATAGATAACCACACGCTTCAGCCTCTGTTGGAGCAAGAGTGGCTAACTTCTGTCAACCTCGGCTATAAGCGAGGAAGAAAATAAAGCCATTTCATTTGAATCAATATCGGTTCTGGAATAAAAATAATACATTTCAGATCGTAAACAAAAAAATCGTGATAGTTTGGAGAATTGATGTTTTCTCTCCAGACCTAACACACACACACACACACACACACACATTCCTTAAAATGTTTACAAATACATTAAGCACATGTAACAGATTCGGAAGGGTATGAAGACACACAACTTCAGCTGACGGGTTTTCCAATATTTATTTGCTCTGCAGAAGACAATATCACATTAATTGGCTTCTGGTTACTGTTTCCTTCTATCTGCACCTCTGCTGCTCAGCAACACAAAACACTGTTGTCTGTAGTCGACCTTATTTTCTACCATACATACACAAAAATCACATCAAAGTATGACATTTCATTCAACTCTTAATCTGCACATTGCTAGCCAAAGGAGCAATTAGAATAGACTGGGAAAACCCTCCTTGAATTATAACACTATATGCGAAAAACATGAGAAACAATGTTTTATACTCTCTAACAGTTTCAGTGAGCAAAATTAAACAGTACGTGGGTTTGGGTAACTGCACGGAAAAAGTATAACATCTAACAAAGATACACATATCTGCAGAAGACAATATCACATTAATTGGCTTCTGGTTACTGTTTCCTTCTATCTGCCCCTCTGCTCCTATTCATTGAATAACAGAATTTACACACTCAACATGGACTGCAGAGCCTCCGTTATTTACATTGCACAGAAACAGCGCGAAAAGAAAAAGAGTTAAACAAAGCATCGTTAAAACTTAAATTTAACCGTAAAAACGGCACAAAACAGCTAGTTAATATCATATTAACTTTGTGTTGTGACCCTTCAATATTTATTGGCTCAATTTCAAAAGAAAACAATAAAGTAGCGCAGCAGCATTTCACACGCAACCTACCTCAGCAACACAAAACACTGTTGTGAGTAGTAGACGGAAACTACGGCAACTTAGGAGGTACAATAGAGGCGCAGTGCAGCAACGACATCTCCGCAGGAAACAATAGCAATATGATAAATAAATTAAACTCATTAAGATAAAATTCACAAATACCCAACAAATCATTAAATGATAATTAAAATAGGGTTAAAACTAAATTAAACATAAATTGGATATTTGAATTAATAAAGTACATTTTTAACTCCGTTACACCCACCCCCACTGAATTTTATCAAAATGAACTCCAGCTACACAACATGTACTAATCAAAACACAACAAATTGACAATTCACAAGGGTCAGTATTGAGAAAACCAACATCAAATGTATCCCATTAGGATGAAGCGGTATGAGAGCAGTGCTTATCTCCCAATCCAACAACTGGCGACAGGGTGCCTTTTTACACCCCACATGACCCCAAAACATAGCGTTGTGTAGGCCCACCACAAAAGAACATAATAACGCAAAAAAAACTGTCGGACCTGTTACAGCCCAACACAAACTTGCAAACCGTCCCAACATTGAACTTGCCCTACACAACATCCTGCCTAGACATGGTTTGTATGAGCCTTTTTACAGGCTTGACCAGGCGACCAAATCTCGACCTGACCTGCGTCTGTGCATCAGTATTTTCAGGGTGCATAGGTCTAGTCGTGCTAACAGTGTGCAAAGTGTCTGACGTCTTGTCTGTCTGCGTCATAGTGTCAAGAGTAGGATCAAGCTGGCCCAAATGTGCTTGAACGTCCACAGCAGTCACAAGGCTAAAGTCACTGGGCACAGACTGCTTTGTTGAA